AAATAAACAAATGTTGTAAAATACCTTGTAGCAAAAATTTAATTAATAAATCAACATAAAGAATATGCATATTTGAGAAATAAATTAAATTAGTTTTTAGCTCCTATGAGTAGCTCTGGGAGTAGGTCTAAGTATTTTTTAAAATTATTAATATTATTAGATATTATTACTATATTTGTGGCAAATTATTAATATTATTATTATTAATGGCTCTGATGGGAGGCTCTAAAACATTGATTCGGCACCAGTTTTGAACGACAAACTTGCAGGGAATGTTATCAACCATTTTCGCGAAATTTGAAATAAAAATTTCCAATAACATGGCGAATACCAACGATGGGGACTTTCAGAGGCCTGGCATTTCGCGGTACGTATTACTGTCATGGATAACATCAACAACAAATCTAAATTGCTAATGAGCACAAACATTTTAAAATGGAAAAACAGTACAGTAAAATGTACAATAGTCAGCGAGTTTGTCAAACAAGGTATAAAAAAAGTCTCGCCTTGGGTAGCATCTTTTTAAAGAAAATCATTAATTTTATTTAAAAAAACACAAGTTACTGATTGATTAAATAATTCTATTTTAAATAAGAAATGATTATGCACAGTAAAGGTAACATAGGACAACATTTAAAAGATCATTATATTAGTGCTACTGAAACTGTTAATTATTTCAAGGTTTTATCTAAGTGCAAATCCAAGTTTAATTGTTTATTTAAAGAAATGCTGTGGATCAAAGAACTGAAACCTACACTTAACAAACAAACTGATCCAGTCAAAACCAAACTGTTTATCTAGTTAATCTGCTAAGAAGGGCTAATTATTGCTTAGCTCCATTGTAGCTCCACACAGTAGGCCCTATTGATATGTAAATTAATTACTTACTTCCTGTCACTACTTGGCATTTTTGTTTTTAGTTTTTTCAATTTACTTGATCTTGAGAATGGTTCCATGATGGACCCAAAACGTCGATCTTTCTTGTCATTAAAGTTTGTTTTGAGATCATGTTCTTAATTGATTTAATAAATAAAAGCCACAAATAATAATTTGATTTACTAAATTTCATTATGTAAAAATAGTTATGCTTTAACATAGATTAAAAATATGTTATGCCTTACTTATTTTTAATCT